TAATTAAGTTTTACAGTTTCAGATGATTAATTTTGTAAGTAAAGTTACTGAAGTTAGATGAATAAAAACTATCAAAAACATTAATGAATACAAAAATATTTTGTTAAACAATCAAAAAATAATTATGGTACCTAGATGATTTTCATAGTATTTATACAATACGAACATATTTATTTTAAATGTAGAATAAATTATTTAAAAACTCATATCTCATAATATGTAGGTATTAGGTATTTATTTATTTATGTATTATTAATCTCATATTGGTACTATTTCCGGGCCCCAGGTTATACATTAGGTATAAACGTAATTATGTAAATATTCTCCGACAATATTATGTCATCATACTCGAATAGGTACTATTTCCCTTTCATAACTTTCCGACAACATTTATGTATAATCAATGATACACTATTTTTGATGTTACTTTAATAGTAACTCGTATTACATTGTTTTTTTCCTTTTATTATGTAAACAATAGAATATGTTTGCCTTACTTCAAGATTGAAATTGAAAAGTAACTATTTTATAATAACTAATAACAATATAAATCAGTTCATAATTATTTAGTTTCGATATTTACCTTAGAAATAAGATACATTCGCTTAGTATGATGTCAAATGGTAAATGTCGGTGGTATATCCCCATATATACACATCATCTTATACTAAGATGAGTAACTTATAAGTTATAAGTGTAATAATTGAAAGTATTTACTTCGATATAATTAATAGCTCCACTAAATATAATTGTAATAGATAAATTAACTAAAAAAATTGTGGATAGTCTAAAATTCTAAACCGACCATATTACTGTTAAACTGTTGGTATAACTCTGATTAACAGTCATTGAGTATCATTATAAATTTGGGTTCTCAATTTTGGATAAATATGAATTAGGCCCTTGAATTGGATCCTGAAAAATATATATTTGAATGGACTCCCTTAACTGTAAAATATTATTTAACCAGGAGTACTCATATTAGTTTACTTTTAAGATAAATTTTATAAATTACTATTATAATATTAGTATCGTGCGAACAGTCGTACCTAACGCACGTGTTTTCCCGTCGCTTTGTTAAGACACCGCTCCAATCCCAATTATCTACTTATTTATAAATCATTAATTGCTTAATAGCCGTCGCGTTATCGTGCACGCCGCGTAGAGGGGCGCGACCTTTATCCGTAAATATGCCACGATCGCCAAACCAAGTTAAATCAAATGATAAAGATAAAAATACTATTATTAAGAAAAAACTTATATACAGGAAGCTCGCCTAAACAAACTTCCAAATATTTCTGGCTTGAACACTCCACCTCTTCAAACAAATTCAAATAGTTCAAATAACGATGACTGGAAACAACAGACTGGAAAAAGAAACCACTCAAGCTCCTCAGAGCCTAACTCTCCAACTAACATACAAAAAACATCAAAACTAAAACAAAATATTTACATCAAGAAATCGGTTTAAAGTCCTATCGCAAACTGAATCAATTGAAGTCAACACAACCGCATCAAACCCAATTCCTGAAACAATTATCCCCAAATCAAACTCCCAACAGGAAAAAATTACCCATCTACTTCCACCTATAATGATCAAAGGAATTTTAGACATTGTAAGCTTACGTACAGAACTCAAAGACCTCGTTGGTCCAGAAAACTTCACTTTTAAGTCAAGCATTAATAATCTAAAAATCCAAACGAAAAACCCAGAATCCTACAGAGCAATCATTCACTTCCTCCAAGAGGATGAAGTCTGCTTCATTCCATACTTTTCAAATGCAAAAACACAAAGCCTACCGTATAGTGATCAGAAACCTCCACCCGACAACCAACACAGCAGAAATAAAAACAGCCCTAGAAGAAATCGGCTATCAAGTACGCCAAATCACAAATGTCTTACATAAACCCACAAAAATAAACCTACCTAGATTTTTCGTCGACTTTGAACTTTCTGAATTAAATAAAGACATCTTCCATTTAAAACACTTGATTCATATCAAGATAAAAATTGAAGAATCATATAAAAGACGTGACATAGTCTAATGCAGTAATTGTCAGGAATATGGTCATACAAAAACTTATTGTGCATGCGTTCGATGTGCCAGATATCACCCCACCTAAACTTGCCAAAAGCCTAGCAATTTTCCCGCCAAATGTGCTCTTTGCCAAGATGAACACCCTGCCAACTACAAGGGATGTTAAATTCACAAGGAACTTCAAAAACTACGCAATCACAACTCAACAAGCAACCAACCAACTTCAATCCAAAAACCACAGCAAAACCTCCGTCAGCGGAATCCAATCCCTCATCTTCCATAATAGAACATATGCAAATGTAACATTAAACCAAGAACCACCAAAATCTGACAGCAATCAGCCAGACACAGCTATTTTACCATCTAAATTTATCAGTGACCTCCAAGCTTTTATAAATCTACTCCTCTCCCTTCTTACAACAGTTCTAGTCAAACACGTAGTACAAAATGACAAATAATACTCCAACTTCTAAATCTGTACAAGTTCTACTTTGGAATTCCAATAGTATTCATAATCATACAGCCAATCTTTCACTTACACTACACAATAAACACATCGACATAGCACTCACATCCGAAACACACCTTACTAACCGAACAAATATACATATTCCTGACTACACGATACTCAGATCAAGCCACTCGAAAGGCACCGCATACGGATGGCAACAATAATAATCAGATTTGTAATTCTCTTTCACAACGTCTCTCAACTAAGTAAACCCCACATACAATCCTTCACCATACAAATTACATTAGATAATTCCCCTATCTCTATATATACAGTATACTGCCC